CTCATGTTCAGCTGCTGTTGACCCACACCCCCAGGTCCTTTTCCACTGGGCAGGTTTCCAGCCACTCCTCCCCAAGCCTGTAGCGTTGCATGGGGTTGTTGTGACCCAAGTGCAGGACCTGGCAATTGGCCTTGTTGAACCTCATACAGTTGGTTGTATGCCCAGGTCCCTCTGCAGAGCCTTCCTACCCACAAGCAAATCAACGCTTCCACCCAGCTTAGTGTCATCTGTGAACTTACTGAGGGTGCCCTCAATCCCTTCATCCAGATCATTAACACCACTTGTGACTGGCCTCCAGCTGGATTTAACTCCATTCACCACCACTCTTTGGGCCCGGCCATCCAGCCAGTTTTTAACCCAGCAGAGAGGATGCCTGTCCAGGCTGTTGGCAGCCAGTTTCTCAAGCAGAATGCTGTGGGAAATGGTGTCAAAGGCTTTACTGAAGTCCAGGTACACAACATCCACAGCCTTTCCCTCATCCACTAAGCAGGTTACCTTGTCATAGAAGGAGATCAGGTTAGTCAGGCAGTAGAGACAGACTCTACTGTCCCCATAGATAAATGACAATGCTGTCTGTGTCCAAATATTCATGAGCGTTAATTGTGCCTCTTCAGGTGTGGTGCTGAGGAAAGCAGTTGCCTTGTGTTTCAAACACAGGGAGCCTACACATAACCTTTCAATGGTCTTTGTTGTAGAAGATGAATGTCAGGAGGATGTTTCCTGAGTATATGCAAACATCTTGACCTGTTCCATCTTTTACTGACAATGCAATTGTTAATTAATTGCCCCCCCCCCGCCATGCTGGGAGCTCCTGAGGGTACAGTTGGCCACAAAGCCCAAGGTGGCGGCTTCCTGGCACCCAGCAGAAGCTGTAGCTGTTTGCAACAAACACATAGGCAGGAGGAACAGAGGAACATAAGAAGGACATGGACCTACTGGAGTGAGTCCAGAGGAGGCCACAAGGATGATCAGAGGGCTGGAGCACCTCTCCTGTGAGGACAGGCTGAGAGAGTTGGGGCTGTTCAGCCTGGAGAAGAGAAGGCTCCGGGGAGACCTTCTAGTGGCTTCCAGTACCTGAAGGGGCTACAGGAAGGCTGGGGAGGGATTTTTGACAAGGGCAGGGATCAATGAAACAAGGGGTAATGGCTTTAAACTGGCAGAGGGGAGATAGAGATGAGATATGAGGAAGAAATTGTTTCCTGTGAGGGTGGTGAGACACTGGCACAGGTTGCCCAGAGAAGCTGTGGCTGCCCCCTCCCCGGAAGGGTTCAAGGACGCTTTGAGCAACCTGGTCAAGTGGAAGGTGTCCCTGCTGATGGCAGGCGGGTTGGAACTGGATGAGCTTTAAAGTCCCTTCCAACCCAGACCATTCTGTGATTCTATGATTCAATGAAAGACACAAAAGATCATAGTGATTAAACTAAGCAGCTGGTGCTGGGAAGGGCTCCCCTTGGCAAGAAGGTCAGAGGATTCAAAGACAAGGATTTCCATAGGGGAGATTAGCTGAGAGAAAAGAGTAGACAGGGATCAATGCTAAAGGAGGCGAGCTGCTCGTCTGGCCACACTATCAGTGTTCAACAGGCTGTGGGAGCCATAGTGAAAATCAAGAGACCAGTAAAGAGAGCCCATGGGAAACTTTATGTGTCAAGTTTTCCTTCACATCTCAGATGGTGGAATGAAAATGTTCTTTTCCACTCCCTCCACCTCTAAATGGGAAGTTTCTCTACCACCAGAGGAACAGTTTGTGACAGGGCACAGCAAGCTGTAATACTCCAAGCCTGGCCTGATGGACACTCCTCGGGATGCAGCCCTGGCCTGGGAGAGCCAGGCTAATGCTGGAGTTAGCAGGATGGTTGGGCTTCCTCTCCTGCTCCACAGCAGCCATGCTCCTCTGCAAGCAGTGCCTGTGTGATGGAGCATAACCCTGCGGCTCCCTGTCCACATGCACGGGCATTGCACTGGCCAAGTCCATGTCTCCCACGTCCTGGAGGGATTTCACAGGGCATCACCAAAGGACAGGGTTGGGGTCTGGCTTGTTCCCTACAAGCTGGGCATTCCTCTGGGCTGGGATCCTGGCAGGTACCTGAAATTCTACTTTTGCTGGTGAATCCGTGTGCTCAGCACAAGAGAAGTGTGTACAGTGTAAAAGATGGTGTACAAGCAGCTAACAGGAGAGCAGTGCAATTCCACTGCCAAACTCCGTCTCAGCCAGCAACTTGACCCATCTGGGTGTGCACAGGGCTGGTGGTGCTAGCTGGGCCATGCACTCATAGAGCAGTGGGAGCACAAGATGACCCCCCTCCACAGATCTCTCAGGGTTTTTGGCTCTCCTGCATGAGCTCGGCTGTCCTGCGATCACTGCAGGAAGAGAGGAGGTTTTTGAGCTGAGTTGAGTGTTGGCAGTGCTATGAGTGTTGATCAAGACTATGGTGCGTGCGTGTTACAGGCAGAGGCTTTGACAGCAGCATCTTGGCCCCATGGACTTTCCTCTATCCCTGCACAGCTGGAATCACTGTCAAACTATTTTACCATGAAGAGGTTGTCTCCTCTGGTGTTCCCAGGCCGTGTCTGATCATCTTTTTAACCCATCACATCACTACTTGCCTTTTTTTTTAAAAAAAAAACCCTTCAAGGACTAATCACAGAATCACAGAATGTCAGGGATTGGAAGGGACCTCAAAAGATCATCTAGTCCAACCCCCCTGCCAGAGCAGGAACCTAATTGAGATCACACAGGAAGGCGTCCAGGCGGGTCTTGAATGTCTCCAGAGAAGGAGACTCCACAACCTCCCTGGGCAGCCTGTTCCAGCGCTCCATCACCCTCACTGTAAAGAAGTTTCTTCTGAAATTTAAGCAGAACCTCCTGTGTTCCAGCTTACACCCACTGTCCCTTGTCCTACCATTGGGCATCACTGAGAAGAGCCTGGCTCCATCCTCATGACATTCACCCTTAACATATTTGTAAACATTAATGAGGTCAATAATAAAAGAGTCATTATCAGATCCTGGAAATAGGAGGTTTGGGTGTCTGTAAAAGATAACCATGTGAAAAAGGGCAGAAGGATGAACTGCAACCCTGGGTGGTTTGGAGGGAAAGCACGCATGGCACTTGGGATCAGGAGCTATAACAGCATCAGGCTGTGATCTCCACTTGGAGCAGAGAGCTTTGACTTTCCCTTCAACCATGAGCCGCTCTCAAAACAGCCATCCAAGAGGTCCTCATCTCTTGGTGCGCCCAGGCCAAGGGGGTAGACACCTAAACGTGCGGCCCATCCCCATCCCACATCTCTCTCTCACCCCTCTCCAGGGCCGGTCTGCTCTGACTTCCCAGAGGCACCGTGGTTTCAGACCTTCTGCCAGTTTGCCCACTACCGCTGCTTCAAACGCCAGTTCTACACCAAGGTGGGGAGCGGGATTTAGGACTGGGATGGAAGGAGTATCTCTTGGGAGATGGAAGGGGTGAGGAGAAAGGGAAGACAACATAGCAGGACTCATGTTTCTCTCTCTCTCCTTCACTCAGCGAATCCCATGTTCAAATTTGTCTCTTCCAAAGAACCTTCTCTCCCCAGCAGAGGAACCTTATGCTGTGGACTCCTGGGCAGAGGGCAAAAGCTCCCCAACAGAAGGTACAGCTGCACCGAGGTGCACTGGGCATCCCTGCTCGCCTGCTGGTCTCCATTAGCTACTCTTCCCCACCACCAGCTTTCTGGCTGCCCTCAGCCCCCTCTCCTGCTCTCTCCCCAGCTCTGAGGAAGAATTCTTTCTCATCCGTTGATGCTCTGCTGGATGACAACGTGGACGCTTTCCTGAGGTTCTCCTTTGCACTGTCAGGTCAGAAGCCGCTGCTGAGGAACATCCCGCCGACCGTGACAGATATGCCGAGACCCTCATGGGACAGCGGGCTCCCACCAACCCTGCCAGTCACAGATACCCCTGTCCCCTCGCCTCCTGGGCTGGAAGCCCCTGTACCCTCACTGACTGGGCTGGGAACCCCTGCCCCGGCAAATCAAGCCTGGGAGGAACGCCTGCAGAACAACATCAAGCATCTGATCTACTTTGCCCTCTACTTGAGCATCCAGGGCTCTTCTCTGAACCCCAGCACCGAGTCAGACCCAGAGAGCACATCAGGCAGTGCCAAGGAGGAGGTGCAGGAGACAACCCCCCGGGGCAGGTGAGGGAAAGACCTGTCTCTCTACCCGGCAGGGTATGACACATTACCCATGCAGGGCTGTCCTCACACTCATCAGCTGGTAGCCCCATGGCACTTGAGCCCCTGCCCTGATCAGCTGGTGAGTGCAGGCAAGCTTTCTGGAGCAAACCATTCCATAGAGAGCAAGAATGTACCCCAGGGAACTCTCACACACCCCCCACTCCAGCACAGAGTGAGCAGGGAGAGGGTGAGGCAGCAATTCTAGTGCTTGACAATGTTACTGTCCTTGTGTCCTGAGCAAATTGCAGTTAGGCTGGGGCCTTAGCTGCAGGTAGGGCCTGTGTGTTTCCCCACACTGTGACCATCTCCAGTGTGCAATCACCTCTGCACTCATCCTCTTCCCAGCTCCCATCTCCTGGGAGTCTGGATGACCTGCAGAAAGAACTTCCTTGCAAACCTGGGTCCTTGGGATGCTAGAGTAAATATGTGTCTTGCTGTGCTCCTCACTTCTCTGCATGCATTGTGAAGCAGATGTTTCTTAAAAGAATCTGACCTGAGGAGCACTCCAAGAAGTGCTCTGTCCTCACCTATGTAGAGCAAAAGCAGCCCCAGGATAGGAAATGGAGCTAGGAGCATGGAGCCTTGCTCCTGGCTGTGCAGGACCACTGATTCTCCTTGAGCACGTGCACCTCTGCACTCTGGACCTGTGCATTGCTCTTCCTAGGGGTTTTCTGCTTCCCCATTCTGGCTTTGAAAGCAGCTGCATGCCAGATCACTGCAGTCCAGCTTGCTGCAATCCTTTTATGTGCCCTTCGTCGTTCCTCTGGCCTAGGGATGCTTTAGGAGCTTGTTGAGCATCTTGAGCCCTTCTCAGCCAATCTGCCAGGATCCATCCACCTCCATGCTCAGGCAGCTGAGGCTAATGAGCCCAAACAGAAAAGCCCTGCAAAAGGATTGTATTTTCACTCAAATTTACTTTCTGATCCTTTAGTACTTTGTGGCTGAGAAACACTTGCTTTGACCGAGATGCAAAGATTATTTTGCTTGCCAAGAGAAAAAAAAATACTGTCTAGATGTGGTTTTCATGAAGAAGTAATTTTGGTTTCGGTCTGGTGCTGGCCAGTGGTGTTCCTTTAAGCGCATAGGTTTTGTGCATGATTGCACATCTGTGGTTTCTGTTACAAACACTGTATACTACTACAGCTGAGCCAGAGATCCCACTTCTGCATGTAAAAATGAATTGCATCATGTTGTTAAAGCTAAAACTGTTCTCTGGCAAGGCTGTAATGTCATCCTTTCTAATATTGTAGGAGGCTCCTACTGCCTGGCAATTTTTTTCTGGTGTATGTACTCTAAGGGAAAATTCTGTTTCATTGAGGATATGTTCATTTTCCCTGCCTCTGAAATTGAGCCTTGCTCTGATTTAGTTATATTGGGATTATTGAGGGACTGCTGTGATTGCAGATGACACTCTCTCTTCTGCTGCAGAGTTTCTCAAAGACAGTCACGCTGACTGTGTCTGTAACCTGGCAGCTGAGCCCCATCAATCATGCTAAGCAAAGCTTAAACTCAAGTGAGGATAAAAAGACAAGATAGACCGCGCCTGTCGGCTTTGCTGCTCACCACATCCCGACGCTGCTCAGAGGGACTTCAAAGCATGACCTAAAAAAGGGGCAAAATGCTTTGAGGCATTTCCATTCCAGCAAGAGGAGCAGTGCTGGGTGGGATTGGTCTGTGTGTACAGGTGCTGTTCAGTGTTTGGTTTTACACCAGGTGCACACGGTTGTGACGGGCACCAAATCCAGGGCTGAGTGTTTTCTCTAGGCTCTTAGGTCCAGCAGGACATCCCTCCCTTCTCGCTCACCCCTGCTTATGGCAGCTGCTCTGGTAGTGCTACCAGCTTTCATGGTACCTGATGAAGGCAGTTGTGACCTTTAGAGAGAGACATGGTGATGGTAGCAAAATAACAAGGAGAAGAATTGGCACCACACTTTATGGTCTTTCTGATAGCAGTGAAACATTGTGGGGGGAGGAGAGTGGAGGGGGAGTATCTTTTATTGCATTTATTTTCAATTTTTAGTCCTTATTGTGCTTTCTGCCCCCTTGATTAAAGAGCTATTTCTCTCCCAGTATTTCCTCTCCTCAGAGTTACCTATATGCCATGAGTCAGTCTTGCAGTAAACCAAACAGAGCTCCACAGCTCTTATGTTCTAAAGCCCGCACAACTCATTTTCTGTGGCCATTTCCAGTGTCTCTTTAAAACATCCACCCACTCCAGCTCTGCATGCATCATTCAGTGATGGGTTTCAGCAGTTGGGGTGTGCAGAAGGAGGTCAGCCTCTCTTCCTGGCTCTTCTGTTTGCACATAAGAATTGCATCTGCTCTTTTTCCCAGGGCTTCTCGCTGTTGCATTGTTTGTCTGCTCTGGCCCCTGCATCCCTTTCAGTGTCATCGCTGTCCCGGGTACAGACACTGTCCTGCTGATATTCACGTGTAGATGCTCGTGGTTCACGTGAGCCCAGCTTCCCCAGCAAGGCTGAGCCGAGCTCTCCCGGCAGCTGCATCTTCCTACTCTTGCTTTACCCATCCAAACAGTCCTTGTTGTGCTCATGTACTTCATCCCCAGTGGCTTCAATTTTAAGACACTTTGTTAAAAATACGGTCCCCAGAAAAACACTCTCTTTGAATCATCATCACCCATTAGCAATTACTTTTTCTTTTTCACCCTGGGTCTGGTGGTGCGGGATGGGACCTGTTCCCCTGACACTTCTCAGCTGCTTTCAGGAACTAGGTGTCACTTGGGGATGAGGTAGATTTTGATGATTTTGGCCATTCAGTAAAGCCAGGGCACAATTTAGTGTCTCCATATTACTATTGAGCGCAGCTGGCTGTGAAAGGGGAGTCGTGACAAGGCAGGTTGTCTTCTCCCCACCAGGCCAGAAGTTCAGGTGCTCCTAGGCTTTTGGGAATCTCAGAGCAGAGGGCTGTCAGTGTCCCAGGAGGGCAGAGGTAAAAGGCTGCAATATTGTGCAGGTCAGCAAAAGTATTTACAAAATACACATTTTCCCCATGCTTGGTGCCCCCCAACCCTTGGGCAGGTGTGATGTTCCTGTTCTCCCAATGGCTCCTGCGTTGGGTTACCTGCTGGGTTTGATCTGTCAGGTACCTCGCCAGCCTGCCTGCCTTCTTGGCATGCAGGCCGAGATCTCTGTCTTTCTGAAGCTGTTAAGAATGTTGTGTTCCTTAGTGGTTTTAGTTTCCTGTAAATCAGAAGTTGCAAAGTGCTGGGAAGCTGCTGTTTGCTCCTTCTCCTCTTTTGTGCTTGCCTCAGGTATTCACTCCACCTCACACAGCCAGCCAATATTGAGTAGGCAGCTGGAAGTTAATGGCCCGAACCCTTGTCATTTTGTCAAGGGAGAGGTGGATGTTGTTAACCAGCACTTTCCAGAGACACTGCTGAAGTAGGCTCTATGTGTGTCACTCTGTGTCTTGAGATGCTAAAGCAGGGTAGGCTTTCATCTGAAGTTTGCTCTGCCTTTGAGCAGTTACTGATCTTGGCCCATAGGTTCTTCTTGATTATATATTTTTACATTCCCTTTGAAACATTGTCTCTGAGTACATTAGGCTTTTTCCAGGGCAGCTGGTAGGACATGAACGTGCAGAGGTACTAAGCTGGGAAGGGATTTGCATTGGGAAATTGCTGTAGCTAGATCTCTGGAGAAAAGGAGGCTGAGGGAAGACCTTATCGCTCTCTACAACTACCTGAAAGGAGGGTGTAGGGAGATGGGTGTAGATCTCTTCTCTCAAGTAACTAGTGGTAGGATGAGAGGAAATGGCCTCAAGTTGCACCAGGGGAGGTTTAGAATGAACATTAGGAAAAATTTATTTATTGAAAGAGTGGTCAAGCATTGAAACAGGCTGCCCAGGAAAGTGGTGGAGTCACCATCCTTGGAGGTGTTCAAAAAATGTGTAGACATGGCACTTCAGAACATGGTTTAGTGGGCATGGTGGTGTTGGGTTGCTGGTTGGACTTGATGATCTTTGAGGTCTTTTCAACCCTAATGATTCTGTGAGTCTATGATTGGTTTCCGTGATGCATGAGGAAAGCTTCAGCACAGCCGCAAACAGCTCAGCAGTGTGTCAATGCGTGCAGGGGACCAGCAGCAGTGCTGTGCCTGGTCTGTACCATTCGCCTGAGGTGTCTCTGTGATGGGACACAAAGCTCCAGTGCTGCTGTAAGGCAGTTGCTGTGGGAGAGTGGCTGGTTATGCCAAGGAGCAGCGCCAGGGCACTGGGAATCACCTGGAGAGGAACCAGAGGCAGCCCCTGTGTGCCACGGCATCGTGGATTGCACGTGACCACAAGTGAGTGAGGAACCCAGGACTTGTCCCTGGGTCTGGTGATACATGGTGGGACCCCTTCTCCTGCACTTCTCAGCTGCTTTCAGGAACTAGCTGTCTCTTGGAGATGATGTAGATGTATCTCATCACCCAGAGGTGGTAATCCAAATCATAGACTTGCAACTGTGCAGCCAGAAAGCCTCACAGCAGAGATAGAGGAAATGGATGTGACAGACAGGCGACAGAATTTCTGGGTAACCTAAGGCTGATGGCATGGCTCAGTTTCCTGGGTGGGTGAGCAGAGGTTATGGACACAGTTTATGTCCATCTCCTTAAGTGACCAACAGAAAAGTGTTGGCACACGGTGCATAGGGATGCCAGGCTTTCTGATCTGCATGAGCCCATCGTATCGAGTGCGGTCTATAAATCTAAAGTTTGCCATGCAGCAGAGGCTCCTGCCCATGTCTGGGTAGGAATCTGCAACTGTTCTGAGCAAGTAGGTCACCAGCACTCAGCAGATGTTCTATCACTACTTATGAGCTACTTATGGAAGCACTCTTTTTAGAAAAGACTGGAGCTGAGTTTCCTTTTACTGCCCCTTTTGCCTGTAATCCTCTCTCTGCATCTTGATCAGGCTGCACTCGTCAGACCAGTACATGTGTTGGAGAAAGCAAAGGCTGTTAAACCCATTTATTAGCAGTTGCTTTCTAAGCCTTATGTTATTTATTTGCTATTTTTAAAAAAGTACAGCAAGCTGGACAGTTTTCTTCTCTTTTCTACCTCGGTGATGCAAACATCAGAGCTATTCATATCATTTTTAATGACTGTTAATGTGCCTCTCACTTTACTGGCTTGATCATCCTGGTGTGATGAAGAAGCAATCAAATTGCAATGTGCCACTAGAATAACAAGCAAGTAGTGGAACAATAGCCAATAATGACATATTTGTGGATAAATTATTTCAGATAAGTTTGGAGACTAATGTCAGGGTCATTAATTGAAATTTGTGAGTGCCATCAAGATGATGCAGCCAGTTTAGCAAATCTTGAAGGCAAAGATCCAACTGTGTGTCTAAGCAGTGAAGCATCTGAGTGGTGGCAGGGATCCCTTCGACTGTCATAGATTTATCAGCAAAGTGAACTGAGCACTTGATCTCCTGGGCTACAACTGCTTAAGAGAGAAATTGTCAGTGTTAGGTAAACCCCACACAAAGAGCAATCCTATATGGAAGAGATATGCTAGGTGTGTACCTTGGGGGCCATCACTGGTTCTTCTCTCAGTGATGTCCAACTCCCAATCACATAAAAATGCTGAGAGAGTCGAATTGACCAACCTTAGATCAGACTTTCAAGTGGGATGAGCACTTTTTGCTCTAAATTTTAAATTTCCTGTTCTTCTTGGTATCCTAAATGGTCTGAATGTTTACAGAGGAAACAAACAAACAAACAAACAAAAGGACCATGTGGAGCCATGGGATGGAGGAGTGAACATAAAGGATCTTACAGGTTCTGGAAGTGTTCTCTGCGGGATAGGTGGGCTTTGTTCCTCTTTTTGACTGGCACATTTTAATTCTTTCCAGCTTTGCCTGAAAGAGTTGGTACCTGTCACTGCTGTCCTCAGTTTGCATTCTTTTGTTCTCTCTGAACTTGGACCTTCTCTCCACAAACCTCTGACCAGGCTGGTCACGCTGTGGTGCATCGCAGGAGGAGATGCACAGGTTTGTGATAGGTAGATTTCCAGGCTTTCAGCTGTCCTCAGTTTTTCAGTGGATGTGGTTGATGTGCTGCAGGTCGGCACCACAGTAATTTGTTCACATGTCTGTATCCACAGAATCCATTTACGGCCTGTCCACAGCACAGGACGATGTGTTGAGGGAATATCTTCACATGCCTTGATGCAGGCTAGAGCAGCATCTGCTGTGTTGAGATAAAACAAGTTTAAGTATCATGCCTTTAAAAAACATCTAGCACTCATTATATTTTCCGTGACTAAGATTTTTCAGGTTCTCTTCTTGTGGTATCTAAGTGAGAGAGATGCCTTCAGAGATCCTCATGTGCTCATTTGCTGCTGGTTAGAGTGAGCTGTTTGGGTACAGGATCACTTGTTTCTCACCCACTACAAGTGCAGAGGACATGCTGCAAGCTCCTTCATCCACAGTGTGTGGCAGGACCCAGGGATCTACTAAGGTACAAAAAACTTCTTCCTATTAGTAGCTCTAATGGTCACCCACGTTCTCCTAGGTGAGTGCACACACAAACCCAGTGCAAATGCCAAGCATCCACATCTTCCTGTGCATACAGTGTATGCCTCTCACGTGTCCATGGATCTGTGACCACCATTTGCTCCTTACAGCTTGATTTCTTCACACACCACCTAACAGCAAGAGCTTAACAGTGGGGAGGTTGATCTCTTTTAGCCTTCAATTCTGGCAATTGCTCTGATTGCTCACCCTGGCCTTCCTACTCAGCACAGGACATGGAGCCATGCCTGGTGAGCCCTGAAGGAAAAACAGCATTGTGTGGTTGAGCTACAGACCCTTCTAAGAGAAATTTGGAATATATTTTTGAAGTCTCCAAGGTGTAGAGAAACCAAACCATCAGCTGCTCCCACACTAAATACCTTTCATGTCAGGAACATGCAGCTAATTTCTGGTTTGAATGGATCTCACACCAAATTCCAGTCACCAAAAGCCACTACTCTTCCATCTGCTGATGAAGAGAGCCTTCCAGCTGATCTCCACCTTGGTAAAAGTACTGACTGACTGAGTGGCCACTCATTAGTGTCTGCTCATCCAAGTAAAGCTTTTTTGCTTCTCGCTCTAGGTGAACATTTTCCAGGCCTTAGGAAATCTCATCTTCATGACCTTCCTCCAGGTTCTCCATCTCTTCTTTGTCTTTTTTAATGCTAATCTGAAGGTGTTTAATCCCAGAAGTTTCAGTCACTCTTAGGAGAACTTCTCCATACAGGTTAGCCCATGCATGGACTTTAAGAGCATTTTAACATAAGCAATTCCTGCTCTTATCTTCTTCTTACTTTCTACCAGATCAAAGTTTATTTATCACTGGTTTTGTTTCCAGACACAGAAGACATATTTAATGAGCATTTTTATCTCTTCTGCATCATTGCTGATGATTGGCACCATCCCTGTCTAATAACAGTTCTGTACCATGTCTATGATTTCTACTGTTCCCAAGACAGCCAAAAGATTCTTATTGTCCTTATCCCACTGCCCTTAAATTTTCTACCTTTAGCTTCCCATGTCGGTTTGGATGGACAGTTAATTCATTGTTACCAATTTTTCCCCTTTCTATCAAATACATTGGCTGGAGGAAGGCTTAATAAGTTACACAGTCCAGACCCAAATGGGGCTGCCCCATTGTCAGCACTCAGCAGACCTCTGACGAACACCTCTTTGCTGTGTACTCAGATGGACAAATCCAGGCAGCAGCTGCTGCGAGGTCCTGGGGAAAGTTCCTCAAGCTGTGCTCCTCATCCAGTCCCTCTCACTTGCTCTCATACCCCCACAGCCTCCGTGTTACACAGGCACCCACAGATTCTGCAGACACCCCCGTTCCTCTGTGCAGTTTGGCCAAGAGTCCAAGGTTTCTCTGTAAAAGGTTTTTTGCTGTGCTTTGGGGTTGTTTCCCCCCCTTTCAGTTTTTAACTAAAGGTCTGTCTCTTCAGCTTGTGACAAGAGACTTGACTTTCTCCATCCTTTTCTCTGTCAGCCTTTTAGCCCTGAACAAGAACAAGGCAATGATAATCTTGTGCTATGCAATGCTGGAGGGAGACTGTCTCTCATCGGTGATCACGCAGGCCTGGAAGGAGGTGGAAGAAAGAGTCCTTGGATTTGGAGATTCGGTAAAGACTCTGATGTCCACCTTTGACCCCCACTGTGGGCAGGGCTCCCTGCAGTGCTGACCCCAGGGCTCCAGCAGCCAGAGCTCATCAGCGCTGCCCTTTGAGGTGCCATCTCCTAGGAGAAGCTGATCTGGGCGACCAGGGAGGCAAGCTCCAAGCCAGGGATATGGATCCTCAGTCTCCTTTTCTCACCCTTGACCTCCCTCATTGCATCTACTCTAGGTGTGTGACAACCTCGGGCGGCGTCACATGGACCTGTGCCCTGACTGTGCTTTCTGCTCACTGAAGAGGGAGCAGTGTCAGAACATCAAAAGCCTGAACCGTGTTCACTGTGACACAGGCAGCTTCATCACCTACATCAACCCTCAGATCTCAGCCCAGTACCAGGCTGCAAACAATGAAATGCCAAATGTGCTGCATCTCCAGCCTCCCTCTGAGGAGGACCGTGAACTAAGGGAGAGGAGGAAGAAGCATGGCTCTCTTTATCCCACCCCTTTTCAGACCTGCTCTCCAGGGACCTCAGAGTACTATGGGATGGAGGTTTTCAGAGGGCTGAGGGTGGAGTACTGGTGCAGCCGGATGGCCACTCGTGGCTGTCAGGACTCTCAGGTGGCCCTCTGGCTGAAGGCAGAGTACACTGCCTTCCAAGATGGAGATGTCCCAAGCCAGGTGCGTACCCAGTGAGTGCTCCCATCCCTCCTTCTCCTCTTCTTTCTCTGGTCTTCATTCCAATCTCCCCAGATCTGTGACTCAAGTGGAGTTCAGCACCCTAACTACTGCGCATTCAAGAGCCACCAGTGCCTGCAGCGGAACCTCTACAACCAGAAGGTGAGAAGCAGCCTGCGCTGCCCTTTACACAGACCTTCTCCTCCATGCCTGGTCCCTCTGCAGCCAGCCTTGAGTCCCTGCAGGACCCACTGCTTGTCCCTCCAGTAGGACATAATTGGGTGTGTTTGGGGGGGTGACAAATAGTGACCTGAGCACAGCTGGCAGGTAATTGAGGCAGTGGGATTTGCACAGATGCTGTAAGAGATGACAGCAGGGAGATCCACTAATGTTGAGACAGAGGAGCTGTGAGGAGCCTCCCACCCACCAGGGTATCCCTGTACATCCCTGCAGGGGAGGGTCTCCACCATCTACTGGCTGCTGCCGAGGTGGTAACAAAAACCAGAAACACCAGAGCAGGACCGAGGACTAGCCCATATCTTAGGGAACACACAGTTCAGCTATCACCCTCTGCCTCCTGCTTCCCAGCTGGTTCTCCCCTCTTTCTTCTGGTGCCCCCATCATTCCAGCCTTCAGATGTCATCCATCGTGGGGCATTCAAAAAAAAATCTTTCCCTGGGGGAAGGATGGGCAGTGGTATCAGTCCTATGAACTCAGGCTCTCCTTGCAGGTATCTCGCCATGGCTGCTGCAGAAACAAGACATACCAGGTGCTGAGTGAGAAGGAGGGAGAGGAGGAAGTGCAGCTGTGGCACCAGAGGTTCCTGGACCTCACCAAGGGGTGATACATGGCAGCAGAGGGGCTGTGTGGGAAGTGCAGAGCTCCAGAGTAGGCTCTCTGGGGCTGTGGTGGGGCAGAGAGCCTGGGTAGACTTGGACTTCCCAGACCCCTTGTTGGCCAGTCATCTCATCATGACCAGATGTCCCACTCTGAGCATGTACTCTGCACCCCTGGGCATGGCACAGCAGGGGGGGAGCCTCACTCAACAGTGTTTCACTTCTCTTGAAAATATTTTCTTCAGCCAAAGAAGCAGCTGAGCATCGGAAAAGTCATCAGCTCTGGGAACCTGGATTTAGAGCCACTGGCCCAAGTGTTCTTGTTTGAAGTCCCCAGCCATCTCGTCCCTCCTTCCTTCAGTCATTAGTTCTCCTGAGGATTAATCTTATTGCATAAAGGGCTCGTTTGCCCCGCAAACCTAATTTGGTCCCTTCTCTCTGCCACTGCTGCCCTATTACACACCTCGGTGACCCCTCTCATGTCCAAGGCGGGTCTCTGCTCCCCATCTGAGGTGGGTCTCTGTTTCCCCCTGCTCTGCTCCCTGGTGTTTCTCACTCACTGCAGCCCGTGAGGCCGCTGAGCATGAGGACTCCAGCACAGCCTCATCCCCTCCCAGCCCACAGGACCCTCCAGGTCCCAGACGCAGCGCATGAGGAAGGAGCCGATGGACACTTTGTTTTCCATTGCAGCTGGTTTATTTCAAAAGTTGAAGAGTTTATTTGTCCTGCATCCTCCAACCCTACAGCCGGACAAATAATTCACACCACAAGAAGCCCAGTGAGGCTGGTGAGAGGGTGCTGGGTGGGGAGCACACAGGAGCTGATGGCACCCTCGGCACCAGGGGCAGCAAAGCCCCAACTCATCCGCTCTCTCTCAGGCTGTGTGTCTCCTCGACACCTTGCCCTGCTTCCCCGTCTCTCTCTGGGGCTGTCCTCTCTCCGGCTGCCTGGCAGACCCTTGGCATCCTCCTGCAACCCAGGCACGCTCCCCCTCAGCGGCAGCTGTGCACCTCCACCGTGTGTCGGCACTGCTTGCACTTGACAGAGCAGCACCA